TATTCTATTCTATTCTATTCTATTCTATTCTATTCTATTCTATTCTAGTCTAGTCTAGTCTATTCTAGTCCATTCCATTCCATTCCATTCCATTCCATTCCAATCCAATCCAATCTATTCTATTCTATTCTATTTTCTATTCTATTCCATTCCATTCCATTCTATTCTATTGATTTTAATTTGATTTTAGTAAAGGTTGGGTTTCTTTTAGAAGTTCTTGGGATTCAGAACCCAGGAGGGAAGAAATCTCCAAGGAAGAAAAGCAAAGTTATGAAATCCAGTCACATAGCAGGGGAAAAGCCAGTCATCCAAAGCTTCTAAGGGAATAAATACACCCACACACCATTATATTGTTGGGTGGGAATGACAAAATATTTTTTTCCCCACAAAGCAGGAATTATCACAAAGCCTGGCTTACTTAAAGGGGAAAAAATAAATAAATTGATAGCTGAGATAAGGAAGGAAGGACAGATGCTAAGCGCTTTTCCCTAGAAAAATGACTGGTCCTCGCCCCAGGCTTGCAAGTAACAAGATCACCTACGCTGAGTAGTAAATCACTTCTAGGAGATCAGCCAGATGTTTTTTTAAACAACAATGTCTTCCTGTTGTCCATTTTGGAAGGCGTGGGATGAACCTAGCTAGGATCAGCTGGTCATTTTTTTTTATGGAGGGTTCCATTCCAGGCCAATCTTCCAGGAGCCATAATTAAAAACATTTAGGGAAAATTGATTTTCCTTTATAGTTTTTTGTTTTTTAAAAAATTTTGGTCTTTCTGGCTGAGGCTGAAGAGCATGCATCTTCCAGGAAGGGTGATGCCCTTTGGTGTGGCCTTCGACCAAACCATTTGCAAGGCGAAGAATTTGCTACGTCCATATATATACAGTTGGTTTAATGTGTTTTCCTGCTTTTTCCCCTGACTATGTTTATCATTGGGATGGGAACCGGTTGGTTGTGGTGGGTAAAAAGGCACCAAGGAAGGAACCAGGGAATTCTATTCCTGCTTTAAGATGGGCCCAAAGCCAGTTGGGTGATTTTTGCCTGGTTCTCATCTCTCAGCCTTGGAAGAAGGCAGGGGCAAAATGCTTGGGAAAAAATCTTGCCAAGAAAACTGCAGGGACTTTTTAGTTGCCAAAGGCCAACGGGCTGCACAATGAACACAACCAGGCAATCAAAAATATATAGTGCGGGTAGCCCTTAACTTACAGCCGTTTCTTTAGAGACTGTTTGAAGTTAGCAGTGAAAAAAGGAAGAAAGGAAGGAGAG